TATCCTAACTGCAACTACTCTCGAAAAATATTGAGTGAATGGCTTAAGACACGGTGTTAGTAATGCAAATAGCGTCCGTGCTCATAAATAGATTCCGGAGCTTATTGAGGAATAATATTGCATCAAATTGTTTAAACTAGCTAAACAAAGTTTTACGTTTTACTTTTAGAGGGTTAGAAAATAAAATCATATTAACTACATTTTCTTTATATACACAAAATACAGTTTTCTATAAAAAAAAGAAATCACGAAGTAAGAACTACAATAAGGACACAAAGGCATGCAACAAACGAATGGAAAATAATTAAATAATTGATGGTCATCTTCATCAACAGCCATAATCATGGCGTGAATGAAACCTCATTTGTAAAGTCAAGAAACTTAAAGAAAATAAAATCTGTAAATACAGCAAGCACAAATATAAGTCTTCAAACTAACAATTCGAGGCTGGTCTGGGAACCAGTAGATAAGTCATAGACAACATAGATTATCATTGTAGATAGTATTTCTAAAAAGGTAACTTAAACTATAAATTATGCGGCGGCTGTAAAGCATCCGTAATTTCGGGCAGTAGTTAAAATAATTTGTAAGGAATACTAATTATTTCGCGTGTTTTAGTGTTTTATTTAAATTTATACTGACTTTCATGTACCTATTACAAATATTTTGCACGCGGTTGCTTCTGTATCATGTGATGTAAGTATTTAATCTAATATCGTCAAATATACCATTTCAGCTTTTATGTTGTCAATTATAATAAGCCTTCAATGTCGAAACGCCAGCATTTACGAGACAATAAAGCGCAAAGTAATTTCGAGAGAAAACAGTAATTGTATCAACATTTCGACACAAAATCAATATTATAGCAAGGTTTCAGACGTACATGTTCGCCCGTGCTGTTGAGAAATCGTCTACGCGACGCGGTTATTCGGTAACCTACTTGAGAGTAGATTCTACGGTATTCCTAGATCATTAAAAAGTTACGAGACTCAACAAAAACTTTCTTAGTTCGTTCGTTTCTTCATTGGTGGTCAATAGTTTTTTAGTCGTCAATCTTCTGCTGTTTATAACGAAAAAAGTTTTAATAGAGAAGTAAAAGGAAGCAGAAAAATACCTGATATTTTCTATGATTTTGTGACAAGACTAAGTTTAAGTAGTGCGATCGAATTTATCTATAATTATGATTTACATTCAGTTAAGAACAAAACAATAGTCTAAATATTCTCAATTCGTTGACAATCTTAACAGAAACAAAAGAAAGAAATACACAAAATCGCTCTCCTTCTCTGTGTAGAATAAAAGTCAGCGACACATCAATAAAAAATTGTTGGAGATTCAAACGCGATATTCTTAACCGATATTTTTGAGATATTAAGTCGATTTGCAGCAGTTTTGCCGCGGTGGAACCAAAATTATAAATTAAGAATACTTATATACTGTCTGTTGTTCACGCGAGTAGTAAACGCGTGGTTTAATCACACATATTTTTATTTTTGCAAGGACCCAACGTCTTTTTGCATCAGCTGTTGTCACGGGGTCGAAAATAAATGATAAAACTTTATTATAACATATTTTTATCTGTAAAAGTGTTTTTTTAAATTTTAATATTATTAAATAAATTAAAAAATTTCTTAATTATTTCTTGTCCTTGGAATAATTACTGTGGGACATAGTGACAAGTTCATGGCCTTACAAGATAATTAAGTACCCAGTTTCCTCTTCACGTGTGGAAGTGTACAAGCCATATTCACGCAAGGATTATTATGATGGCGTGTTTAGTTAATTCATGTAATTAGGTCGGGATGTCTTAAGTAAATACTTGAAAGATGCCTAATACAGACGCAAAACGAATGTTGATAAAGATAAAAAAATGTGCAAAAAAAATTAAAAAAGAGATCTTTTCGTAATATATGCGACTAACGGAAAAGCATCGGGTCGGGCTTAGACAATATAATTCGCGTTTTGACAGTTAAACAAATGACTATTTTAATTATAACGATAATGTGGCATAATTTTTTCATACAATGATGGGAAGTTTTCACTATAAAAATCAATGTTTATCCTTTCATTAACCTTCACGACGGCTAGCTTAGTTTTAATTACAGTGTTTGTATTTTAAATGTAAAACAAAATAAAGTCAGGCTGGTAAGTGTATCTAATATTAATATTTAAAACAAATGTTTTAACACTGTTATCGGTATAAAACGCGTTAAAGTTATTTACAATATATTTTTACTACGCCACGACGTTTGGGACGCTTTACAAGTACTTTTATTGTAAATTAGTTAATACATTTCGCGTTTTAAACAGTTAAAAGTATTTTATTTAAGTACACATTTAAATACTTACATAAAATACTTTCAATAGTAAATTATTTTAAGTTAAACGTAAAGTATGAAAGTATGGTGAAATTATAATAAGCTGTTTATTGTAATTTTATCAGGGTCGAGATAAATACAGAATTTTTATTTACTTGTTGCCTATCTTGAAAGTAAACAGAGTTTACCTTCTGGTTACGTGTATGTAGTACGTTAGTGTATAAATAAATAATACTTCGACATCATAAGAGAGAAGTTTGTACGTTTAAGTAGAGTCCCGTGGGACGCGGAAGGAACAGGTGCGGTTACTCTAGTAGTTGACGAGCTCATACATAATACATTAGTTGAAATTGTTCTGCTGTCTAGTAGTAAACAATGGTTTACATAGACAGGTTATTTATTAAGACAGAGGAAAACGCTTTAGGCACTTATAATTTAATTTACGGAAAGTTATTGATCGTAAGATTATTGATATATTCGATAGATTTTACAAAAAGTGCTAACTCGAATATTTAAATTTAGTAGAAAAGATACGAATTTCTAGTTGTAATATTTTATACAAACAAGAATTCATATATTTCTGGGAGTCTACGAATTAAATACTGTCTATAGTTTACGCGAGTAGTACACATTTAAATAAAACACTTTAACGGTTTAAAACGCGATATATTAGTTAAACTTATTTGAAAAAGATTTTTAACTTCGGCCCGACGTTTCGGATGCTTTGCAGCATTTTCTCCCCGTGACCACGGCTGCTGTAAGTTTAGTTAATATATATTGCGTTTTAAACCGTTACAGTGTTTTATTTAAAAATCTACGAATTATTAAAAGGCACCCCTGAGTATGAGTGAATAAATAAAGAGTAATGAAATTCATGTCCTTAATTTATGTATGTAGACGTTTTTATTTTGTTTATTTTTTATGAAAAAAAAATACAGTTACTACAATTTTAATACTGGCGATTCTAAAATGTTGTTTATAAATAAAGTGCTTACTCAAGCTTCCTTTATTAATCGAATTATTTAAAATAATCTGATTGTGATTGAGGGCGGACTTAATCGAAATCTCGTAAAACTCCCATAATCCAGCGTTGATTAAGCGTTAATTAAATTTACAATCTTTCCTTTCAGGAAATGTTTGGGAATTAGATCGAAGTTCCAGCTGGAGCAAACGCAACATCAATCAATGTTCCGCTTCAGGAAAAGCGAAAAAGGAAAGAAGAAAAACTATTCGATTTCTTTGATCCGGCGATGCCTTAATCTGTTTTATTTCTACTTGGTGACTTGGGAAATGCAAAATTTTTCACGCTTAATTTAGCTAATAAACAAATTGTATACCTTAAGTGGTATAAATTCAGTAAAATAATTATTTTAACTACCCTTAATGATTAACAAATATATTTAGGTCTCGTTTTAAACTGCTAAAAAATGCTTATAGGCTTAAAGTGTTATTGTAAAGCAGTTTTGTAACTAGCTAATAAGATTTATAGACTTGTGGCTTGAAATGTAACCCCGTCGTTAATATGGAAACGACGAGAAGTATAAAGTTTCTAATACATCAATAACAAGATAATATTATGTCAACGTTCTTATCCCCTTTCTTTACTACTCTGAACTTAAACTTAATTAATCGTAATCATGTGTTTGACTTTTAGGAAGTTTAAGTTCTAGCCAATGGTAGATAATCACAATGTAATTATTATAAAAGGGGATATTGCTGTTTAGAAAACTTTCTATAAGTTCCTATATTTGAAGAAAAACAATACAAAAAACAATTTATAAGCAATAACCTACAATAAATCAATAATATTATCCATGTTGTATCCTCAAAATAGCATGTTCTTCAGGTAAAGAATATTGGTTTTTGTAATTACATTTAAAATGCTAAATTACAATTCACCGGGATTCGAACCCTGGATTTCGTGATATGCATCTGTATCAACTTGTTAAACGAAGTGTTTGTACACCTTCATAATTAGGTACTTTACATCGCAGTTCACACATACTTCTCGGTACTTAATGCCGTGCGAGGTTAGGGTGATTTTAAATCAGGTCATAGGGTAATTTCGTTCAATTGGAGATGGCTACAATTTTAGTTCTTTCTTCCGTAAGCGGATCTGGGTTCGATTATATTCACAAGGAACAAGTATACACTTAGAGTGCCTTCTATTATAATATTTGGAGTCTTTATTGTTCGGTTTTAATTATATGAATAATTAAACTTCGTTAACACACTGCATATTTCATACACAAGTTTTTTTAATACTAAGACCAAACTTAAATGATTTCTACTTGTAAAACAAATATTTATGCTCTATATTTCTTCAAATAAAACAGTAAGCACTCACACAGTCTACATGCAAACTATTAGCGCGTACTTTATTTTTTATATTTTTTTTAAATAATGCAACATAACATTACATTAAAAATGTAGCATTTGTCACTGCACAATATTATACGTTACACTAACTTAGCAAATTAATTTTTCTGTTACGTACACTATCGTCGTTAATTTCCTCATTTAGTGATAAAAACGAAAATTGTTTACAATACCTTAAACGCGATATGGTAATCAAAATTCGTCTTCGCATTTAATGAGTTTAGCATCGGTAAGGTTGTCAAAACTCAAGAAGAATCCTCGACAACTTTCCGCCAAACCATGATACCCGGGAATCATCGTTACCTTGACTTTAGACATGTCGGTTGTACCAATTAAATCGGCGACGTCATGGACATGGACAAAACACCAATCGCTTCGGATATCACAGCACAAGTACACACGAGCTGCCGGGAGAACAGTCGGGTCGCGACTGAGTGTCAAATGCGTTTGTATATAGGAAAGCTCTGTTGAATTGAATTGATTAATAGTTGAGACAAAAAACGCAACGAGATTGCCAAATTGGTGGAAATCGAGTTGATTGTCGGTTTTTAGCCTACAGTTGGTTTAACAGCTAATACAAATATTTTTAATTTAACCTAACTAACATACCGCCTTTCTGGTTTTCATCACTAAAATTAGTTAGATGGGCTCTTGATATAGACAATGTATGTATCAACGGGTCGTGGGTTCGATGCCCGCCGTGTCCAACATTTTTATAGTCAATTTATAAATTTTTATAACATGTTGGTTTTCATTTTTCTTGGTTGGCAATCTGAATATTAAATTAGTGGCAAATTACGACCACCCGTCACAAACCGTCGCAATGATAAAACCTTAAAGTAAATCGTGATTAAGGAAAGCCAGATATGGTAGACACCGCATCAGTTAAGATTTTATATGGCTGGAGTATTTTACCTACCATCAAGGTATACTACAATCACCCCTCTTTTCTGTCCTCATCTTCATACAAAATAAGTAGCAGGGTAGACGTTAAAGCAGGACCCTGTAAGCAGCATGGTGTCGATCGATGTTAATAATTAGGTAGAGGAGACCCGGTGCCCGAGACGTGAGGAAATGAATTGAGGAATAATTATGTATTTAGATGCAGCCCAAGAGCAGCAAATGCAGCGCATACTTAACCAACGCGAATAATCTGCTATGCTTCGCTGCTCCGACATTTATCTCGAATCTAATCAGATAACAAGTGAATCGTTGTTTTGTCTCTCAAACGCTGTATTTATCTATGATATACCTACGTTCATCCAGGTCACAGGAGATACACATTGATATGCACTAAGTATTTATGCTATTTTAAAATGATAAATAAACGTCTATAGTAAAGATGCATCATTATATTATATGTGTAAGAGGATTAAATTTCCCCCCGAAGTCCGAAGAATTGCATGTACGTACGTATATATACGTTACGTCAAAATGGCAGGTTTTAATGTGAAAACCCTAAAATGGAGTAATGTGAAGAAGATTTTTTTTTTGTTTTATAAGGAAATTGTTTACGATTTTATTTATGCGAAATAAACGAATTGTTGTTTAATTGATCAGAAAAGATTAGATGTTTTTATTATAACAGTCTAAACTTATTATTCATTATTTTCTTTCGGGGACACCTGCGGTAGGACGGGTGATCAGTCCACGTTATCAGTTGACCATTTCACCCATTTCCCCCTTAAATCTAAACTTACTTAATATTAAAAGAATTTACCTGAAAAGAAACAACACATTATGTTATTTCGGCAACCTCTATTCTTATTCTTTACAACTATAATTAAAGTGGTAAATTAACTAATTTACAACTTTAAATTAAAGTGTTAAATAAAAAATCTAACTTTAATGTGATGCGATAAAAAAGATTAAATGTGTAGAAACTAACGATTTCGTATCTTGTACTATAAATAGAGATTATGATGATGATATTGGAACACATTACTGCGGTGTGAGTGCGAGATGATAAACAAAAGCGTTTGAGAGCAACAGCACGGAACGCTGACGATGCCGGTTCAAGTCCTGCCCGAGTCGAAATTTTTTTTCAATTTATTTTCGATTTTTAAAATAATTTATACGAAGTCTTTATTTATTTCGTGGTTTCTCGCTACATCTTAACAATATACGTTGAAACGATTTATTTTCTCACAAATAGCCAACAATCTTCACAAAGTTCACATTACAACGCCCTCTTGGATCAAACACGATGCCTAGCATGACATTGGGTACAAGTATCGTGGGTTCTAACTGCGGGAAAAGACATCTAATCGTTTCGGTCTCTCTGGACATAGATATGTTTCTGTCGCTAAATGAAATAGGACCGAGACACTTACTTGACAGTTTACAAACATTACTCCGATAAGTAAACATCAAACTTATATTATCTTTCGTGACAATAATAAAACGTTTACCTCTTTGAAATACACGATTCCATGTCACCACAAAAGATAACGATTTTACAAAATTCTTTATGTGACTCTATTGTTGTATAAAATATAGAATAATTACATCTTTAGTTTCTATCAATTAAATCCTATTTCTGGTACATAACACATTATAGGTTACAATGTTTAAAAACATATTTTTTATTTTTTCTAAAAGAAAGTGGTGCTTAAAAATTACAACCTAGGCACCTATTTTGATTATGTAATTATCCGTATTAAAATTATTTGTTTGTTAAATCACATCAATTGTAAAATTGCAAGCAGTCAAGTCATTATAAATATAGGTACGTAACGTCTTATACACCGAGTGATTTATTAAAAATGCAATAAATTGTTGTACGCGTTATATTATATTTGTTTGTTTTAATAGTACCATAAATTATATAAACTCTACATTGTTTCAAGACTGATAGGTATGTAAAAATGTTAAATAAATCTTAATTAATATTATTATTAGTATTTATTAACAAAAAGTTTAAAAAATCCGTTATAACGTATAACGTACATTGTTGTATCTTATCAGCGCGATCTATCATTATTTATTGGAACCTTTTAACGCGTATTACAGTTGAGGGCATTTGAGCTAGCGAAACAAGAGGGCGCTTTCATAAAAGCTGTTGACAGCTTACAAGGGGACGCACATGAAAAGCCACAGCTCGGTAGTTCGGTAATGGCTGCCAACGGGGTAGTTTGTCGTCGCTATATCGTTTAATGGATTGTTTACATTATTTACATCAACATTTCAGTCAATCAACGTAAATACTCTACGTAGTGTGATTTGTGTTTTGTTTTAGACGTACGCTGTAGAAGAGAGTTACGTATGAATTCGGTGGATATTATTGCAATGCATCGTCCAGTGTAGTGTTGTGGCATAACTCTGATGGTTGCGGTGTACTAATTGGTTATCCTAGCTAAATGCTGGGCTACAGGAGTACGATGTGTAGCCGGCAGCACTCACAGGCGTGCTTGAATACGTCCCTGTCGATTCGACAGGAGATACAGAGGTTCGAGAGCGTTCATCCGTCGATTTACGCTCTCTACGACCTTGTGGAACTAGTACCGGACCCGCTGCTCGCACAACAAATCCGCGATCATGTTGTGGCTATAGAAGGTTTGTTTATTATTCCTATATTGTTTAGCTTAGATAAATCAAAACACCTCTACCGGCTAGACAACAAGAAAGAATTCACTTTAGGGACGATGACAATAATTACAGGTCTTTATAATGTTACAAGTCAATTAACGTATTCATTGTGGATAGAATTATCTATTTTCTCTTAAGTAGAATATACGAGTAATATCACCACGTTTATATTCTTTGGTATATATAAATACTTTGTGGCAGAAACGTTAAGAAGAAAACGGACACTCGATCTTGTCTCGTGATAACCAGAATTGGGTCTCAGTTGATAATAAAACAATTATTGAATGCCGGTAGGATACACAGGAATGAAAATTCCTAATAAAGAATAGCTCTTAAAAAAAGAAAATCATTTTTACTGGTTAACAGCGGAATAAAAAATAGAATGTCTTTCCATACAAATTAGTTATTTTAGATTAAGTATATGGTAGTGTCAATTTAATAATCTTTTATATATTAAATACGTACTAGTACACAGGTTACCTACTCGTAATTTTTATCTCTCTGGAGAGGGCCTGTTAAGCTTTGATAAGAAAATTGATAACCCGTTTTAGCATTTGATATTCCCACAGGCGCAATTCTGACGCTAATTTAGATAAACAAGTATTTTGTGTCGTGTTAGATTTCGTTTTATTTTACAGTAGTAGTAAACAAAAACTTTAAATATAGCGCGATTTAATCAGTTTTTAAGACAGGGGTGAAGATTTAGCATAGAATTGAATTGTGCATAAAATTTCAATTACGTTGTAGTGTAAGAATTCATTACCTATAAAATATTGTTATTCGAGTGATATACACTATATGTAGTTAGAACATACATAAACCGCCACAATGTCCCAGAAGCTGTTTTCGTGTTTCCAAATCAAAGTCCTTTTCAGTCTAAATATGATGTTTATTAAAAACTATTTTTTTACTTTATGTGTAAAATAAGCGTTATATTATTGGTTAAAAATTTAGATGGTGACACTAAATTTTATAAATATCGGAAATCATATGATCACTGCATACCTAAAATCATTCGCTGTATTAAAATGCACTGGTGAAGCTGTTTTTGAGTTCATTGTCTGTTATTTTAATGGCAAATAGAGCAGTAACTGTTAACCGTGCAGCATAATAAAACTGTAATATCCCAACTGAGTAGGTGCTGTATTGTATTGTGTAATCTCTCTTTGTCCACTGCGGGGATAATTATTAAAATCTGTTCTGTACTCCCCTTTTCGCTGTTTCCGTTCAGAGTCTCTGATAGAGTTTTAAAATAAGTTACATGAAATGTATGGATATTATTGCTTTTGTACATTAAGTCTAGCTAAATGTTACTTAAATGAAGTACGAGCGTATTAATCAAACGGTAATGTTTGTTAAAGTTTTGTTAATAAAAATAAATGTATACACAAAAATATTTACTTAAATAAAATACTATTGACGGCTTAAAACGCGTAAAATAATTAACTCGTGACCATAGCTGCTGTAAAGCATGGGAAACGTGCGTAGAAGCAATACTTAAAAATACGGTTATGAATACGGCACTTTTAACCGTTAAAAGTGTTTTATTTAATTAATACTGTACAGAAAATACATTTTAAGACAATATTTTATTACATTTAAAGGGTTTATGAGGTCCAATATATAAGTATTATATATATATGTCTTATGTAATTGAATTACTTCCCATACATATCTTAAATCTATCCACAAACTTTCCATCCCACTTCTTACGCTAAAGAATCATTTAAGACGAACCACGCACCAAAACTTGCGTAGTCGTCATCAAACCGGTTTGAGTCGTTGGAGCAAGCACGTGCGAGTGGATTGTAGGCCTGAGGCTATTAACCAGATCAATCGGTCGGGCTCGATCGACGCTTTATCTATACTACGGCATGTAAACAAGCCTTATTTGTCGAGTGACTAGACAATACCGTAGAGTACGGCCCCGGTCTCATATATAGCTGTAGAACTTGTCAAGACCTTCAATCGATTCCATCAATGGTCAGTCGGTCACCTTACAGACGATTTCTTATTTACAATCGATGTTGGACAATGTTCGGTTAAATTCGAAAGTAAAAGAGACAACGACAGTACCTCTATGATAGTCTCGTGGTAACGTAGTAAGCTAGCTACGGCGTTTATAGCAGACCATAGCTTAGTGATATTTGATGTGACAAGTGAAGAGGGTAAATACTTGCACCGCTTGTTTGCATAACTGTGTGTTTCCGCATTTGCTTATGTTTATATGACGACTGAAGAGTAAAACTTTGTCATCGTTGAGACAATTGTCTGCGAAGCCATCGCATACACACTTGAAATGGAAATTATACGCATTAAATTCACAATATAATAATTGGAATCTGTCTTTCTCTTATTTTAAAATCCTTTAAATGAAGTAGAAAATGTAGAAAGAAAAATATAATATATGATAGACCTACCTATTTGAAATACCTAATAAGTTATTCGTAGATTCACATTCTGTACATTTCGTACTCGACTATCCGGGCACAGAATAAATAAACTATAAGCGAATAAAACGGTTTGACTGGAATCATATTGTAAGTTTTAGTGAGTTACGTGTTCGGCTCAATAAATATCAATATTTGTATGTCATCCGGGGCGACCACGCCGAGCCGAATACGTAGTTTGTATACCTGTACGGAATTTGTTCTTTGTGTATTTGTATCCCTTTACGTTGATGCATTTTGGCGTTAATATTTAAATATCGAATTCGTAAAACTGTACAATTGATATGAAAAAAACGTCCCATTCATAGTTCGAGTCCCACATGTGGGCTATAGGAGGTCCTATAAGGATCGGTGTCGTTGAAAGGGCATTTTTATGATACTTTCCCATTTTTTTTTATGATGGATGAAGACATTTTGGCTTTGGGTATTCCCCTTCTTCATCGAAGTAACACCTCATCACATTTGCTATCAGGTATACGTATGCCACTAAACCAATACGAGTCTAATCAATGTATTGTATGATAATAGTTGTCTACTAATACAGAATAACAATCTGAAACTGATTTTAAACAATCTGCGATATTGATTACAACATATTTTATAGGATTCAATTAAATTAAACGAATAACCAATAACATAGCTTATGTAGGTGGAATATTCATTGCCCACCGCATTCCGGGGCTCAAGTTAAATCATTTACAACCTACACAAAATTTTACATGTGCAAATAAATTTAGACGACTCTACCTTCTTCCATTTGAATAGACACTAATGTGTCATACAAGTATTCTGTTCAAGAACCGAATATATGGTCACGTCAGTAAAGCCAACAGTATTGCAAGAACGAATTCCATATACGTCATATTTTCGGAACACCTGTTAGTGAAAATTGGATATCGATTTGACATTTTCCAAACGCTGCCGATAGGAAAGAGAGCAGCGACTAAAATATAAAGTTCAACTATCCTTTGTTTTTGGGGTTACGGCTCTTGTAGAATACGACTGGAAGACGATCGGGGACATAAAAAACAAAAGCGAAGTATAAAATGTTAATGGTAGACTGTAAAAAAGAGAATTCGAATAAAAGGAAAAACCTTTACTTTCACTATTTATGGTTTTATTTAATATAATATCGAAATCTGAAACTATGAATATGCTATGTGTTTTGCCGTATTATGAGAGAGTAAATTGTGTAACAATAAAAAATTCACTCAAGATCAAGGAAGAGCAACATAAAAAGAGAGTCAATTCGTCACGTCCGTCGTAAAATCTTCGGAGCGTTCACGAGAATATTTGATAGCGGTAAATAATCATTTGTATGAAGCTAATAATGTTCTCCTTCTCTGAATTTCAGATTATCCGTGAATAAGGTTATATTTTTTTACAGACGAATAAATGTTTATGTTGTATATATTAGTATATTATATCATCATCATCAAAAACCCTAAAAGATACAATAGATAAGTACCTCCGGAAGTCTTTCCAAATAAAAAAATAAAACATCTTTTATATTGGTAACTATAACTGACCTCATAAATATTAAATTAAATGTGCTGAATAAATTTGAAGAATGCAAGTTACAGCAAGCATTTGATGGAACATCACCGTTACTTATATTTACGGTGCTCACCAAATTTCACATAATATAACAGTCATTGAGGTGATTATAGATTCAACGTGGGTAACTAAGTAAACTTTATGAGCCCGTAACTTCAAAAGCTAACTCATGGTGCGAAATTAAGCTGCGGTCAAAGTTGGAGAGTTTTCCTTTAGGTGGTTCGTAGACTTTGGTCAAACATCTCGATAAGTCGATTTCTTCAAGTGAAAACATTACGTACAGATTTAATATTGTTAAAATATATACTAATATATAAAGCTGAAGAGTTTGTTCGTTTGTTTATATTTTTGAACGTGTAAAACTCAGGAACCACTGGTAAGGATAAAAATAATTTTTGTGTTAGTTACAGCGTTTAACGAGGAAGGTTATAGTCTATACATATAAAACATTGCGCTATCCTGATAGGAGCAAAAAAAACAGTGGGAAAGGAAAAAACCGGGGATAATTATTCATCCTTGTGGGTCTCCGATGCGCGTTAAGATACCCCAAAAACAATGATTCCTCATTAAATGGTGTAAAAAAAATGTCTGCGACAGTATACGTCTATCTTTCAAGATTAACTTGCAAGGACGACGAGACGCGAATATCGTCGTGAGTAACAGTTTAAATTTATAAAATTCAAAAACAAATTTGATGCATAAAATAACTATTCTACGCGGACAAAGTCGCTGACACAGCTAGTAAAATATATAAGTAAGCTAGATGTATTACTTAACCATTGAAACTAATTTAACGAATATATATATACATACGTATACCTAATATTTATACTCTACTTAGTTAAGTATAAATGGCAAACGGGGAATAAAGGTTACAGATGTTTACGATTTTATTCAAGCCAGTGGTGCATAGATAATGCAGAAAATACATTTAAGATGAAAATTTGTATTATTGCGTTATTATTTCTTTCAATTATAGTGATTGTTTCAAATTGATATCAATCAAAACGACCGAAGGCATTTATTTAAATAAAGACGTTAATGTAACGTAACTTTAGCGTAAGCTTTCGTTTTTTATCTATGAAGAGTTCGTTTGTTTGTTTTAACGGAAATATCAGGAACTTCGAATT